CTCCTCCTCCTCCTCCTCCTCCTCTCCGGAAAGTCTGCGCTAAGAAAGTTCACTCGCCTGGGTGCTCTTTCCCTTTCACCTTCCTCTCGCCCCTCAAGATGGCTTTCCCCGTCCGCTGGAACTTCCTTTCCAGCCTCACCTCCTTTCTCCGCCTCAGCGTCTTGCCCTAAGTTTTCTGATCCGGAGTGCCGGGACTCCGGACGCTCCCGCGCCTCAACAATGAGCGCCCCCCGAAGTCGCCCAGCCTCTGCAAGCCTCCCTTTCCCGGCCTGGCAGTTGCCGGACTCCGGCTAAGTTTGCCGGGCGGCGGCGCCGCCGCGCGGGGCCGCAGCTCCTTCCCTCCCCGCAGCCGGGCGCCGCGGCCTCCTTCCCGCCTCCCGCTGCTCCCGCAGCCCGCCGCGCGCCCTCCCGGGCTCGCCCGGCGGCGGCGGCGGCCGCCGCCCCCTCCCCCCCCCCCCACCCCGGCCGCTCCGCGCTCCCACGTGCTGGTCCCCGCCGCGCGCCGGGCAGCGCCGCCAGGCCGCCGAGGATGCGCCGGGCCGCTCTCCCACGCCCCCGGCGCCGGGCCGGGCCGCGGCGCGCCGGGCCTCGCGGGCCTCGCCGGCTCCCGGCCTTTCCCGACCGGCCTCGCCGACCCCGTCCTTACCGGCGGGCGCAGGGCGGAGGGTGGCGCGGGCCCGGCGCCTCCGGTGGAGGATGCCCCGCGCGCGAGGGGTTGAGGGGTGGGGGGGGAGGTGGAGGAGGGCCCGCGATCCTGGACGCCCAGGCCGCGGGACCCGCGCCGCGGACGGCCGAGGGGGAGGGGGAGGCCGCGGGCGGAGACGCGCGGGGGCTGCGGAGCGGGTCCCACGATCAGTTCATCTCCGGGCGCCGCCGAGGCCGAGCGGGAAGTACCGAGGGCGCCTCCTCCTCCTCCTCCTCCTCCGCCTCCGCCTCCTCCTCCTCCTCCGTCCGCGCTCCCGCCCCGCCGCTTATCGGCCGCCGGCAGCCGCCATGACGCCGAGACCGCGAGCGAGCGAGCGCAACCGTCTCCGCCGCGCGGCGCCGCCGAGGTCGCCGTCGCCTCCGCCTCCCGAGCGACGTCACCGCCTGGGCTCACTCCCCTTCCCCGGCGCGCGGCGGCAGTCGCGGCGGCGCGCACGCCCGGGCCTTTCCGCCGACGCGCGGGCGCGGGGCGGGGCGGCGGCGCGCGCCCCTGGTGGGGGCGGGGGAAGCCGCGGGGCTCGGGTGGCGGCGCGGCCCGCCGCGGGTCTCTAACCCCGAGGTCGCGTCGAGGTTGGGGGCGCTCCCGTCACCGCACCGGTGCGCAGGGGGTGACCCGGGGCAGAGGCCGGCGGCGCGCCGCCTGCGGTGGTGGGTGTCGGTAGCGCGCACCGTGTGCCCCCGGAGTCCGGCCTGAGCTGCTGCGTCACCAGGGCAGCCTGGGAACCCGGCGATTGGGCAACCTCGTCGCCTCCCGCTGTGTTACTCGCCTGGGCGACCTGCGGCTAAGTCTCTTCCCGGGCGGGGCTCTAGTGAAGGAGAGAGAATAGAGTGCTGCCTGTTGACATCCCGTGACGCTGCTCGATTCGTGTGTGGGTGGCCCCTGCCGAGTTCTTAAAAGAACTTTTACAGCCGTGCCTGGCTGGGTCCCTCCCTGGAGGGCGGGTGGAAGGGTGTCGTGCGGAATTGGAACAAGGAGGGGCGTTGTAACTGTCCCGGTCTAAGGTGCTGCAACTTTGTTGACAGTTTTTGTCATTATGTATCCGCGGGCCTCGGTGTGCCGGAAGCAGGAGCTCTTCAAGCATGGTGATGTAGCTAATCTATGTATGGTTTTTTATTTTGTTTTTATTATGCTTTTTTGGTTTTGAAAGAGCGTCTTATTACGTAGCCCAGGGTGGCCTCAGAATAATCCTATTACCTTCGAAGTGTTGGGATTACAGGTATGTGCCACCACACCAAGGCTGTTTTTGCAAGTTTTTGGATTTTTGTTTGCTAACTTGTTTTTAAATAAAAATTCTTTCTGACTTCATTTTTCCCGTCCGTAAATTAAAAAAAAAAAATTAAGACAGTATACAATCACCATGAGGTGGTGGCACACGCCTTTAATCCCAACACTTGGGAGGCAGAGGCAGACGGGTCTCTGAGTTCAAGGCCAGCCTAAGTCTACAAAAGGATACAATCCAGGCTGTTCTGTGTATTGGTGAGATTACCATTGTACCCACCATGTGGGGCTAATTTTTAAAACTTCCTAATTTGTTATTTAAAGTTAGATTTGCTGTAAAGACCCGCCTTTGATGTCAAATGAGTTTGGCTGCCATAATATTCTCCAAATAATTCTTAAGCTATTTGAGAAATTTCTAATAAAATTTTTAACTTTGAAGCTTGATGTTTTGAATAAAATAACAATATACTTCATTGCTCTGTAATGTCTTAGAGTTGACTTCAGAATATAGAGAAATACAGCATATAAAAAATTGCAGCAATCTTGCCTGTTTGGGTCTTAAAGGTCAAGGTGTAATGCAAAAATGTGTTTTGGATATTTGTTAGCTGCATGATTGAATTCCCCGGTTTTTTGGTTTTTGGTTTTTTGTTTAATAAACAGTCTCTTACATTTTATTTCTTGTTAGTGTTTGCCTGTGTGCCATAGCACACAAGTGGAGGTCAGAGACCTCACCTTCCACCATGTGAATCCAAGGGATGTCACTCAGATTCTTAAAGTTTGATGTCAGGGGTCTGTAAGCACTGAACCCAACTGATTGCATCTCTTGTTAGTACATCAAATAACAGCCTCAGAGTGATTATCTAAACATGTAAATAGCAGAAATTCCAGAAAATGAGCATCGACCATGAGGGGTTTGGGTGAGTATGACATTTACAGATTCTAACACATTATTCTGTGAATCCTTATTTCTGATACATTCTACTAGTGAAGCTTGCCAGTGGATGTCTGTGATGGTTACTCTTTATTGTCAACTTGATTGGATTGAGAAATAAATATCTAAGAGATGATGTGTAAAATATAGAACTGGATATGTGTATGAGGTCATTTCCAGAGAAAATTAAAAGATTGAAGCACCTACCTCATCCCTGCATGGATTCAGATTTTGATGGACTATCAGGATGTTGTGGAACTCTGGTGGGTAGGGCCTCAGTGGAAATAGTGAGTCACTGGGGGTGTGCCTTAGAAAACTATATCATGGCTCTGGCCTCAAAACAATGAACCAAAGTAAACCTTTCTTCCTACAAGTTGGTTTTCTCTGGGATCTGGTCATAGTGACATGAAAATGACCTCCAACAGTATTCTTAAATAGATATACTGAGAAACACTTTCAGAATGGTAAAATATGCCTCAGATAGAAAACAGTAGCTCTTTCTCCTCTAACTTTGGGGTTGCCAATATAGGAATAAATATATTCTTTCTCCTACTTAATATTAAAATAGAGTCTGACTTAAGATTGTTGCAGTTAGTATTTTTTTGTTTTATGGTCATGTGGAATTGACATTCTGTAAAAACAACTTTTGAATTTTGGTTTTTTTTCCGGTCTAAAGATATGCCCGGGTTGGGGATCTAGCTCAGTGGTAGAGCGCTTGCCTAGCAAGCTCAAGGCCCTGGGTTTGATCCTCAGCTCAAAAAAAAAAAAAAAAAGATATGCCTTATAAGACACAGTGCTTGCTCATAGGGCCTCATCAGACTTGGTGATCATAAGGTAGACAACACAAACTCAAGTATCAGTGTTACTGAGTTAGTGTAGTGTGTAGGTCACGTGTTAAATGCATTTTCAACTAAGGGTGTTTTCAGTTTTAGCCTATGACATCAACCTGAGTACCTTGCCAAACAGGAAGAATTTTCCAAATGTCATGTGTCAATTTATAAAATTCTTTGATAGGCTTGCAAAATCTTAAGTCATAGTAAATGTGACACATTTTCTACTTTTCTAGTCATAATTTTATAAGAGTTACTGTTTGCAGAATTGGGCAGAATACTTTCCTTAGGACAGTTGCCTGGCACTGCATTCCACTGCATCCACCGTGGGTGATTTCCAACCTATGCAGTGTTTGGAAGAATTCTCTAGTATATTCAGACATCTTAGTTACTATATTTAGAGATTTTGACTAAAATTCTTTTCTTTTAAAAAGTGTTTTCGGGGTTGGGGATTTAGCTCAGTGGTAGAGCACTTGCCTAGCAAGCACAAGGCCGTGGGTTCGATCCTCAGCTCCAAAAAATAAAAAAATAAAAAATAAAAATAAAAAATGTTTTCTTGCATTTTTTTGTGTGTGTATGCATGTGCATGCACATGGTACAGTACACATGTATGTGTAGGTCAGAGGACAACTTAAAGGAGTCAGTTCCTTCCTTTCATTATTTGGGTCCTAGAGATCAAATTCAGGTCATTAGACAACAACTGCTGTTACTAGCTGATGAATTCTTTTCTTTTTTTTTTTTTTTTTTTTTTTGGTTTTTCGAGGCAGGGTTTCTCTGTGTAGCTTTGCGCCTTTCCTGGAACTCACTTGGTAGTCCAGGCTGGCCTCGAACTCACAGAGATCCGCCTGGCTCTGCCTCCCGAGTGCTGGGATTAAAGGCGTGCACCACCACCGCCCGGCGAATTCTTTTCTTTTTAAGACATGGGTACCTGTAGGAGACAGTCTCCCTATCGTAACAAGCATGACTTTGGTTCCCGGGCTCAAGTGACCCTTCTGCTTCAGCCCCCTAAGAGTTGGAACTACAGGCTTGCATGATTCTAACTCTTTAAATTTTAAGTCCCTTAGTGTCAATAAAATTGCAAATGAAAAGTTCTAAAAGATGATTCTAAGAGGCCACTAGATATAAAATCTAATAGGCATATAAAGATATAACTTCCTCTGATTTCAAAATTAAATGTACATGTGTATATGCAGTAAAAGAAAAAAGATAATTAAATTAACAGATTAGTTCACCAGTGTTGCCATGCCTTCTTTTCAGTTTTTTTGTTTTTTAATTTTTGTTTTTTTACTTTTTTTTTTTTTTTTTTTTTTTTTTGAGACAGGGTTTCTCTGTAAGCCCTGGCTGTCCTGGAACTCCCTCTGTAAACCAGGCCTGGCCTTGAACTCACAGAGATCCTCCTGCCTCAGCCTCCCAAGTGCTGGATTAAAGGCATGTGCTGCTACCACCCTGGCAAACAAGGCAATTCTTATAAAGGAAAACATTTAATTGAGGCTGGATTACGGTACAGAGGTTTAGTCCATTATCGTTATGGCGGCACGCAGACAGACATGGTGCTGGAGAGGTAGCTGAGAGGTCTACATCCAGACTGGCAGGCAGCAGGAAGAGAGAGAGACACTGGGCCTGGCTTAGGCTTCTGAAATCTGAAAGCCCACTTCCCAGTAACACACTTCCTCCAACAAGGCCGCACCTCCCAATAGTGCCATTCCTTGTGAGCCTGTGGGAGCATTTTTATTCAGACCAGCACACTACTCTGCTTCTGTGTTACATTATGAGACCCTTGAATATGGAAACTGTCCACATTACATCATATTAAGTCATTCTATAAACTTATTTCATCTCAGACATTCTGCTAAGGGACAGGGAATTGTCATAGAGTGAAACCAGACATGTTTAGGGTTTAATACAGGAAATAACCACACTGAATTCAAAACTGAGAAATATAAATATAAGAAACATAATCCTATGAGAGTAATAAATGCTAGTTAGGAAAAAATCTCTCCAAAGAAAATGCAGTGACCTGAGAACTGAGGAATTAGTATGAATTAGACAAAAGAGGCCACTGAAGACATTCTTTGTAGATAAATGTGAGAAACCATTCTTGGGCCAGAGAAATCATCACACTCATTTGTTAAAAACGGGCTTCATTTTTTTAAAAAGTGTCCTTCAAAGATGTTTGAGAAGCATTTCAGTGATGAATAGATCAGCACCACACCTTCAAATGTATTCATTACTTTTCTCTTGCTGTGGTGGTTTAAATGATAATGGCCTCTGTAGGCTCATATATTTGAATGCTTGGTCACCAAGGAGTGGAACTGTTTAAAAAGATTACAAGGATTAGGAGGTGTGGCCTTGCTGGAAGAGGTGTGTCACTGGGGGTGAAACTGAGGTTCCAAAAAGCCATGCCAGGTACAATCTCCCCCTCTTTCCTTCCCCTCCCTCCCACTCCCCCACCTGACTCTCTGCCTGCACATCAGGATGTAACTCTCAGCTACTGCTCCAACACCATGAGCACCACCATGCTCCAGCCATAACCCCCCACACACAATAATGGACTAAACATCTGAAACTATAAGCAAGCCCCTAATTAAAGTCTCTTTTATAAGAGTTGCCTTGATCATGGTGTCTGTTCACAGCAACAGAGCAGTGACTGAGACAGTTGCTATGACAAGTTACCTAACAAAGATGACTTCAAGGAAAGGCTTATCCTGGCTTACCGTTTGCATGCATTGTCCATCATGGTGGGGAAGTCATAGTGACAGACATGTGAAGCAGCTGGTCACATGGTTTCTATAGTCAGAAAGGAGAGAGAGATGAATACTGGTGCTTAGCTTGCTTTCTTGTTTTTACTTAGTCCTGGAACAGTGCTGCCCACATTCAGAGTTAAGTTTTCCTCCCTTCCTCCCTTCTAAATGTATCATAGACACAAGCAAAAGTGTTTCCCTGGTAACTCTAAATTTAGTCAAATTGACAGTGAGGATTAGCCATCAGAATAAAGGACCGTAGAGTACATAGTACTGAGAGAGCAAACATCGACTGAGTGAGAGGGTCTACAAAGGCAAGGCTATTCAGGGACTAAGTGGATTGTGTAGGAAATTAGGAAACCATCAAAGGGATTTTAATTTGATGGTGACTTAACAAGATTGGTAAATTGAAAATTGTACTCTAGATATAAATCCCAAGCAAAGATTAGGATGTTTCAAAGTAGATAGGATACTCCCAAATTAATTAGAGGTTTTTGCAGATAAAAGAAACTAAAACTGGCGTATTGGACCAGGATAGTGTAATAGAAGTAGAGAGTGAGTTGGAGGAACAGTAGAATACACTTCCTGGAGCTGGACTGAGCATTAGGAGGAAGAAGTTACTTGGTATTTACAGCTGAATGGTAGTGGCATTCATTCACTAGAGTGTTAATGTATTTGGAGTAGTTAGGGAGGTTGGAAGATCATTTGGTTTAGTACTTCCTGAATTTCTGATGTCTTTGAGTCATCGAAGCAGCTTCTAAATAGAAGTATGGATCTGGGGACAGGCTCCTTTGGGCAGAAAGGATTTATATTAGCTCCATTCCAGGTTACAGTCTATTACTACTGGGAGGTCGCAGCAGCAGAAGCTTGAGAGAGCTGATTAATCACTTCCAAAACAGAAAGCTGGTGAGTGTATAGGGAAAGATTAAACTCCTGAGTATACATGAAACTGACTTGGAATAGCTTAAGTCCTAAGTAGAGGAAGATGAGCTAGAAGAGCTGGGGTTCCCAGGGGGTATTATGCTCGACAAGACAAATGACTCCATGCTTCAAGGAAGGAGCCATAAATAAACAATGTCAAATGCCATTGTGAAGTCATGTGAAACAAGGCCTGGAAAATGTCCATTGGGTTTAGTGACGTGATGGTCATCAGTTACCACAAGAACTGTTTTGTTGAGCAATATGGCCTTAAGATAGATTGAAATGGGGGCTGGAGAGATGGCTCAGAGGTTAAGAGCACTGCCTGCTCTTCCAGAGGTCCTGAGTTCAATTCCCAGCAACCACATGGTAGCTCACAACCATCTGTAATGAGATCTGGTGCCCTCTTCTGACCTGCAGTCATACATGCTGTATACATAATAAATAAATAAATAAATAAATAAATAAATAAATAAATAAATAAATAAATAAAAAGATAGATTGAAATGGAATGTGGTAGGTGATAAATAAATGGAATGAATCTAAATTCCTCACAGGATTTGACTTTTAATTGGGAGGGAATATATCTCTTTTGTTATTTTAAATATGTAGATGTGTCCTCGTGTGGGTATGTGCACATGAATGGCACACGGGAACTGCAGCTGTGAACCTTGGAACTGCTGCTGTGAACCATCTGACACGGGTGTTGGGAACTGAACTTGTATCAGCGAAAGTAGTGAGTGAATGCTCTTCACCCCTGAGCAACCCCTTCAACCTGGAAGATATTCTTTTTTGCCTTTGAGGATTTTGACTTATTTGCTTTGATAAAAGGCTTAAGGTGTTCCAAAGACAGTTATGGACAGTTGTGAGCTGCCATATGGGTGCTGGGAATAGAACCTGGGTCCTCTGGAAGAACAGCCTGTGTCTTAACCACTGAACTATCTCTCCAGCCCCTTCCTTTCTTCCTTTTAATAACTTTGCTTTTCACCCTATAACCCAGGCTGGCCTCAAACTCATGATCTCCTGCCTTAGCCTACTGAGTACTGGGATTACAGCACATACAACCATTCCTACTTCTAGCTGGTAATAATCTTTTGAGATGAGGTTGAGATGAGGTTGAATATATGAGAGAAGAGTTGGATATAAGAATTTTCTGCAAAGACTGAAACATATTAATCACTGGAGAAAGTAAATAAATGAATTTTAAGTCTGATTAAAGCAAATATGTAGCCGGGCAGTGGTTGTGCATGCCTTTAATCCCAGCACTCGGGAGGCAGAGGCAGGCAGATCTCTGTGAGTTCGAGGCCAGCCTGGTCTACAGAGTGAGTTCCAGGAAAGGCACAAAGCTACACAGAGAAACCCTGTCTCAAAAAAAAAAAAAAAGCAAATATGTTTCCTGTATTTTTAAAATGAACTGAACAACAACTAGCATTGTTTATAGTTACAGGATATGGGTGGCCTGGTGATCTGAAAGAGATACCCTCCATAAGTCTCAGGCATTTGAATACTTGGTCCCCAGTTGGTGGCTGTTGAGGAAGCATTAGGAGGGGGTAAGGTACTGTAGAAGGAGGTGTGTCCCTGGGGGTGGAGTTCTAAGTCTGAAAGCCCATGCCATCCCCAGTTATCTCCTTCTGCCTCCTGACTCTCAGTGGCAGCTCCAGCCAACTGCTGCATGCCTCTTGCTGTGCCATCACAGACCCTAACCCTCTGAGATAACCACTTTATCCTATAAATTGCCTTGGTTATGGTGTTCTGTCTCAGTAGACAAGTAGCTAATACAGATGCTCACTTAACGGCTAAGAGATTCTGTGAGCTCTCTAGTCCCCCACTAATACATGTACTTCCAGAAAGACTAGTATTTTTTAATTGTGCCAAAATTTAGAGCTACCTGAAATGCTTTGCAATAAATTGTTCAAGCCCTACCTCAAACTCAAAGGAGTCTGTTCCCCTGGCGGAGGTAGAGCCCTCCCCTTGCCCCTCTGCAAGTGCATTCTTTTAAAGCTCCCCAGGGTGAGTCTAAGTGCCACTGGTCTTGAGAAACACTGATGTCACCCTCATAACAACAGCACTGACTGCAATAACTTAGTGTTTAGGTGAAGTATGGAGAGGCCAGGATACTACTTACAAACAGCAGTTCTTTTCTTTTCTTTTTTTTTTTTTTTGGTTCTTTGAGACAGGGTTTCTGTGTGGCTTTCGTGCCTGACCTGGAGCTTGCTCTGTAGACCAGGCTGGCCTCAAACTCACAGAGATTCATCTGGCTCTGCCTCCAGTGCTGGGATTAAAGGTGTGGGCCACCGCCACCCAGCCTAAACAGTGTTTTTTTGTTTGTTTGTTTTTGTTTTGTTTGTTTTTGTTTTTGTTTTTTGAGACAGGGTTTCTCTGTGTAGCTTTGGCACCTTTCCTGGAACTCACTCTGTAGCCCAGGCTGGCCTCGAACTCACAGAGATCCACCTGCCTCTGCCTCCCAAGTGCTGGAATTAAAGGCCTGTGGCACCACTGCCTGGCTTCAAACAGTGGTTCTTAACAGCAGTTAGAAGACAAATTTTATCCCCATGAGGGCTAAGTGGCAAAAATCTGGGAACATCTGTGGTTGTCATGGCAGATGAGTCTCATATATTAATGTGAGTTAATATGCTGATATATAGTAGTTTGAAGACAAGGGTGCTTCTGGAGATCCTACAGTGTGTCAGTCAGCTGCTTTTTTTCCCCTTAACAAAAGCTCCAGTGCCATGCCTGCCTGCCACAATGTTTCCCACCATGATGACCATGGACTAACCCTCTGAAACTGTAAGCAAGCCCCCAATTAAATGCTTATCTTTTATAAGTTGCCTTGGTCAAAAGCCTTCTCTGAAGTATAGCTGATTATTCCCTATATTTTAAAAAATAAAAATAAACATAAAAGTCAATTTTAAGCTACTTCAAGTCTTCTGTCTTACATGCCTAGCTACATGCAGGAAATATGTATGTCTAAAGAATTATTTAGAGAAAAGAAATATTGGATTTAGATCCAAGCTTTGCACTCCATCTTCTTCTGTCATTAGTTAAATGACAGTCAACAAGTCGATTACTTGGGGAATTTTTGTGATTATGGAAATAGGTGTTAAGTGACTTGGGACAAATAGAAAACTTTTCACTGGGGATTTTAGCCTTGATTAACACCCTTACACTAAGAAAATTCTATACACATTTGGAGTTCAACCTCAGCCACAACATATGAACTAGAAGACCAAACTTTAACTTTTGCTAGATGAACTATTGGTCCTATCTGGATCAAACAGGTTGTCCTGATTTTATAAAATCAGGACTGAGAAATGTTTGTCAGGTTGTTATCATTTGAACTAGAAACACATAAACTTAGGCCAGGGCTGCCTTGTGTGATAGCATGTGGGAGGTGGAGAATCAGGGTCTGTGTGGAAGAGGAGGCAGTACAGCCCATGTCATAGTCCTACAGTTCTGTGAAGATGATTCAGTCTTCTCTCCCTTGCAGATCAGGAAGCTGAGACTCTTAAAGGACATGTGGAAGCTGAAGAAACCCAGGCAGTTTTACTAAAGTCTGTGCTTTCGTGAAGCACATATCAAACACAATATAACAGCTACACCAGTTCCTGACCTCCATCCTTTGAGAAGTTAGTCTGTTCTCATCTTTGAATTCTTTGTCATAACTCATCCTTATAAGAGAATTTCACATCTCGGGTTCAGCAAAGTGCATTTCTACTGGTTGCAGCAGCAAAGCCCTGTTCTGAAGTGGCTGTGAGTGGAAATGCAGATACAAACCACAGAGAAAGTAACTAGTCAAATCAAGAGAAAGGAAGGCTTATACAGACTTCCCATTACAAGGTGGAAATTTAGTGTGTTACACAGTAGCGATTTTTTTTACCCCAAGTGGCTTAGAGCTCAGATTATATAGAAGCCAAGTACTTTTAGAACTTTCAAATGTATAAGTTACTGCATACTAAGTTTCAAAATGCACCTAGGAAAGAGATACATTCTAAACAAGGTTTCTAGATGGAAGTAGAATGTATTAACCAGGGTTCTCTAGAAAAACAGAACTGATAGAATAAATACATATACATATCTATCTCTATATCTATCTCTAGATAGATATAGAGATAGATATATATAGAGAGATATAGATATATAGATATAGATATAGATATAGATATAGATATAAAATGAGAGTAGTTCACAAGCTGTGGTCTGGCTAGTGCAACAGTGGCTGTCTCCTGACAGAAAGTCCAAGAATCCAATAGTTAATCATTCCATGAGGCTGAATGTCTCAGCTGTTCTTCAGTATATATCAGAGTCCTGAAGAAGTAGGCTCTAATACCAGGAAGGAATGAACTTGCCAGGGACAGTGAGGGCAAGCAGGCAAAAAGCAAAAGATTCCTTCCTCCCTGTCCTGTATATAGGATGCACCAGAAGGTGTGGCCCAGATTTAGGGTAGGTCTTCCCAACTCAAATGATTTAAAAAAAAAAAATTCCTCATAGATGTCCCCAACTGCTTAGGCTTTAGTTGATTCCAGATGTGGTCAAGTTGACAACCAAGAATAGCCATCATGTTGCACAAATCCTAAATGGTCTTTTAATAAAAACCTGGAGCCAGATATTAGGGTAAATGCTGAAAGATCAGAGAGACAAAGGAACAATCCACAGCCACTTCTCAGCCCACCACCTCTACAAATCCTCTAACTGAATGCCCGAGTCCTCAGCCTAAAAGATCTCCAGTGCTGATTCAATCTCATGTAGCCCAATGTGGCCTTGAACTCACAGAGATCCAGATGTATCTCTGCCTCCTGAGTGCTAGGATTAAAGGCATGTGCCACCACTGCCTGACCTCTATGTTAAGTCTAGTGGCTGGCTCTGTCCTCTGATCTCCAGGCAAATTTTATTAGAGTACAACAAAATATCACCACACCATCACATAGAGCAAGTTGCCAAATTTGCTCCAGATTTGATCAATTTGACAGTCATCAGCTCTCTTTTGTGCCCATCACCTGTGATCTGAGAATGTAAGGCCACATAAGAAATGAGAATGGGCATGCTGAATTGTAACAGAAGTTTTGTCACACCGTTTCTAATATTGTCCTTGACAAATGAGTGCTCAAGGTAGAAGCAGAGTCTCCAAGGTGCTGCTGATGTAAGGCACCCCAGTTCCTCAGGTCCTTCCAAAGCCTCTGCTGTCCCTGCCTGAGTCTGCCTCACAGAAGTATGGTGATTCCTTCACTACCAGTACCCACCATGCCCAGGATGCCTGTGCCATTGTGTATAAAGATATCACTGAAGGTCAAGCTGCCATGCCCACTTATTCTTATTTGACTTGAGGCTAAAACAGAGAACAATGTGGAAGGAAAGAGGCCCAACTGTTGCTAAGAAACAAAAGTCCCAATGAACTGACAACTCACAGTGAAACCTGATCCACTATGGTCTTAAGCATTAGTTAAACACAAAAGGAATCTTCCTAAGAGAAAATGGGCAGGCAGTCCCCACAATAGAGTGCTTGTGTGTCATAAAAGCACAAAGTCTGTGGACCACAGTCTATCTCCTCCTGCAGAGCCCATCCATCCTCCAATATGGAAGATTCTTCACCAGACAGACAGAAGTGATACCTTCTACCAGATGAGGATCTGCAATATCTGTTTTCAGGAGTAACCCTGAAAGACCCTGAAAGGGAACCCAAATCAAACTGTGTTAGTTACTGTTCTATTGCTGTGGTAACACACCATGACCAAGGCAACTTATGGAAGAAAAAGCATATTGGGACACCCAGGTCCAGAGGGTTAGAATGGTCATTGTGGAGGGAACATGGCAGCAGGCAGACAGGCATGGTGCTGGAGCAGGAGCTGAAAGCTCACATTCTTATCCAGAAAAATAAGGCAGAAAGAGAGCTAACTGGAAATGGCATGGCTTTTGAAACCTCAAAATTAGCCTACCCCTAATGACACACCTCCTCCTTTAAGGCCACACCTCCTAATCCTTCCCAAAGAGTTCCACCAACTGGAGACCAAGCATTTACATATATAAGCCTATCTGGGCTATTCTCCTTCAAACCACCACACAAACATAACCAGATTTTCTAATAATTGGTTAGAAGTGGTTCAATGAGCTTACACCTTAGAAGACTCCAGCAGTTTATTTGCACACTACTCCATTTCTGCAGGACACAGTTTATGTTCTTGTTGGAGTAGTTTTAAAAAACAACAACAACCACAAACTATGAGCCTCTGACAGGCAGACAGAAACTCTGTGCTGATTGTCAATGAAGAAATTAATTAATTAGTTAATTAGTTAAAATAAAACAACACACACAAACAGTTGCCATTTGGCTTTTTGAGACAAGGTCTTTCATAACCCAAAGTGCCCTTTAATTTTCTATGTAGCCAAATCTGGCCTTATATTGCTGATTCTCAATCTCCTACATCTCAAATAATGGCATTTCAGGTGGGCACTCTTGTGCAATATTAGTTTAAGATGGGTTACATTTATTTATGCTGTGGAATATTTGTTTAATGATACAAAGATGTGTTGTATTTTATGTTGCATTTGTTTGTCTTTATAAAGCTGTGTTACTTTGCCTGCCTAATATAGCTGATTGATCTAATAAAGAGCTGAACATCCAATAGTTAGGCAGGAGAGGTATAAGTGGGGCTGCCAGGCAGAAAGAATAAATAGGAGGAGAAATCTAGGCTCAGAAAAAGAAAAGAGCAAGGGGTGAGAAAAGTAGGAGAGGAGGACACCAGGGGTCAGCCACCCAGCCACAGAGTAAGAAGGAAAGAAGATATATAGAATAAAGAAAGATAAAAAGCCCAGAGGTAAAATGTAGTTAAAAAGAAATGGGATGCCGGGCGGTGGTGGCGCACGCCTTTAATCCCAGCATTCGGGAGGCAGAGCCAGGCGGATCTCTGTGAGTTCGAGGCCAGCCTGGGACTACCAAGTGAGTCCCAGGAAAGGCGCAAAGCTACACAGAGAAACCCTGTCTCGAAAAACCAAAAAAAAAAAAAAAAAAGAAATGGGATAACTTAACTTAACTTAGAAAAGCTGCCTAGAAACAAACCAAGCTAAGGCTGAGCATTCATAAGTAAGAATAAGTCTCCATGCCGGGCAGTGGTGGCGTATACCTTTAATCCCAGCACTTGGGAGGCAGAGCCAGACAGATCTCTGTGAGTTTGAGGCCAGCCTGGGCTACCAAGTGAGTTCCAGGACAAGAACCAAAACTATATAGAGAAACCCTGTCTCGGGAAAAAAAAAAAAAAAAGAATAAGTCTCCATGTATTCATTTGGGAGCTGGGTGGCGGGCAGTCAACTATAGTGCACCACTCTACCCAGCTGAGCCAGTTGAATTTATAGTTTATCAATAGAACATAATATTTATTCACTTCCTGGATGTCCTGTATATACCCATGTTCAGAGTAGATCCTAGAAAAATAATGTTCAGAAAAAAAATGTTTTTTCTCACTTGGAAATGACATTCTCTTTTGAAGGAGAAGGAAGAAGAGTAAAAAGGTAAATAAGGAAATATGACTAGAAATTGGGATAGTTTTAATAAGAAAAGGACAAGAGTTATCTCAGAGCAAAGATAAACACATTTAAAAGGGAAGTGTCGGTGGATGTTCAGAGAGCTTCTCTGGACTGGGCTGGGATGGAGTAGACCCTCCTGGAAGGCAGAGGAAAAGCAGGAAGGAATACAATTGAAAAGGTGCCCGGGCAGGAGAGGGCTTGTTCCTGTGAAGACCCAAAAGCCGGGGAGCAGCAAGGGACCAGCTGATGAGAGGTTGAGAACCCACCTACTAATTAGTATTATTAACGTTTACTTTATTTGTTTTTTTGTTGTTGTGTTAGTGGCCTGTGTGTGTGCGTGTGTGTGTGTGTGTGTGTGTGTGTGTGTGTGTGTGTGTGTGTGTGTGTGTGTTGGTTTGGTTTTTTCTTTTGGGTTTTGTTTTCTTTTCTTTTCTTTTTTGAGACAGGGTTTTTCTGTATAGCCCTGGCTGTCCTGAACTCATTCTGTAGACCAGGGTGGCCTTGAACTCACAGAGATCCTCTTGCCTCTGCCTCCTGAGTGCTGGGATTAAAGGCGTGTGCCACCACCACCCAGGGTTTGTTTTGTTTTTTTTGGTTTTTTTGGTTTTTTTGAGACAGGGTTTCTCTGTGTAGCTTTGCGCCTCTCCTGGAACTCACTTGGTAGCCCAGACTGGCCTCGAACTCACAGAGATCCGCCTGACTCTGCCTCCCGAGTGCTGGGATTAAAGGCGTGCGCCACCACCGCCCGGCTGTTTTGTTTTTTTAAGACGCATCTTTCCTTTATGTAGCCCTGGCTGTCCTGAACTCGCTATGTAGACTCGGCTGACCTTCAACTCAGAGATCCACCTGCCTCTGCCTCCCGAGTTAACTGCTGTGACACCACTCAGGCTTACTTATTTGTTCATTAGGAAGCCAGGTTGGGAGGCTAAGGCTGAAGGATTGTCAGCTTGGCCAGAGACTCCTTTGTATTTTCAGTAGTCTGTAGATCTTAAATTTTTGAGTATCTGAAATGTTTAGAGATTTTGTATAATAGCTAAAATGCAAAAGTATTTTAAAATTTTAAACCAATTTGATTTTATGTTTTCCTTTTATTTGTTAATGTAGGTCACCT